GGCCTCTATCTGTAATTATTTTTATTTTGGGCCCTTATTTGTAATTATTTTCAAATTTGGGCCCTTATTTGTAATTTACCCTAAATTTTAACGACAAATAATTCTCAATCATGATTGGCTAATTCTGGGGCCAAACCAAATCGGTTAATATGAGTTAATTAAAATTTCCAAATTTATAATGTATTTAGGGCTTCCACCAACACTTGCATATCATAAATAAATATTAGGTTATGCAAAGTTGATTTTCTGTTTTACAAGTTTCAGCTAACTTGCTTTACAATTTTAAATTTTTTTTGGTACCAATTTATCTAATATCACCCAATCAATGAAGACTTTAATTTCTCAAAATTTTACGTTTTATAAAATCAACTGGAAAAAAGCCTACAATTTAAACTTTAGATTTTATAAAATAAGTAACAAAAGATTAACTTTGTACAGTCTTATAAATAGTAAAAATATATAAATTATAATATTGACCATTTTATTTTTAATCTGTGCCTATGAAGATGAACGTATGAAGATAATGACGAAATGGACGAAATGGACGAAATGGACGAAATGTTAAACATTCCAAGTTTGGTATAGAAACGTAGAAATTACACCCTAAGGAACTTTTAAACATTTTTTTACTATAAAAACCATTAGTTCGAAGAATGTACTTTTTAAAGTTTAGTTTTAGGCACTACTCCAATTTTATCCCATTTTAGACAATCCCGATCGGTTTCATTCAATTCTCTGATAATACCACCTGTACTAACTCTCATTGCAATAAATGAAGGCGAAACAGAAATAGAAGAGGATACTGCCTCTTCTTTAATAAGATCAGTCATGGATGTATTATTGTCTTCAATAGAAATAACACGTTTTATAAAATCACGACAACGTTCCAATGCTATTTGAGAAGGTTTAAAAAAAGTGCACATCTGTAATAATTAATCATTCATACATGTAAAATTAATAATATATTTTAAAAGTATTTACGAACAAAACAAAAAAAATTTTAACAGTTAAATATACATACATGCCAGATATGAGGCATATCATCATAAACTTCAAGTATAACTTTAGTAGGTTTCTTAAAAGGTGACTTTTCAAAATTTTTAGTTGCATATGAAGGCAATTGGTATTCATGAGGATTTGCTGCTTTATGGCTAATTAGAATAGCTTCGTCATGAAGTTTTTCATCACCTCCAACTTGCTAGAATTTATTTCGCATATATTATTCATTTATTATTAAAATCATAAACTATTAAAAAAACCTTAATATTGAAAGAAGCAACTTACACATAAAATGGGTGGTAAATTCCCCAAAAATTCAGCAAGAATGGGACTAGAAATCAAATATTATATAATGATAAATACTAAAATCTAATTATAATTGCTATTAAATTTCTTAAGTGAGATAGGATTACTTGCCTAACATAAGGGATTGTCAACGCTTCGTTAGCACAATAATGATTGAAACGAGGTACTTCAGTAAAAGAAGGATGACTAACAATTGTAGGGTTTTTTAGAGTGATTTTATCAGCTAGAGCCTTTGCGTTGGTATGATATTCGTCCATGACAGGAGACGAAGGGAATGCAAAAAGGCCTAGTTTTGAAGGTACAAAATCTACTTTATCTATTTTAGCATCCCAAAATGATTGCATGCTATGAGTTAAATCAACCTGTTTTGAAAAGAAACCACGTTAGCTTTCATTGATTCCAAATTGAATTTCAAACATATCGATATACATACATACCCATGGTGACTTTGAGTATCGTGTGAACAATAAATCGTTATTGTAAATACTAATGATGAGATAAAATAAAAACATTTATTTACTAAATTTATTTAAATGCTCACCAATGCAATTGCGCCCGCTGGCAAAGGCAATCCAGCGTCTCTTAAAGCTAAGAGTGTAGCAAAGACCAAATTGCCACCCGCACTCTCGCCAGCAAATATGATTTTTTTTAGGATTAATCGGCATTTGGTCCTGGATTTATAAGATATAGATACGCGGCGACGGAATCACAAAGAGCGGCAGGAAATTGACTCTGCGGCGAAAGACGATAATCAAGTGCTACGATCCAATAATTTTTATTATAAGAAATTGTTTTATCATAAGAAATTGTCGTGAGGAATTGCCATAAAACATTGTCATAAGAAATTATCATAAGAAATTATCATAAGAAATTATCATAAGAAATTGTCATAAGAAATTGTATAAGAAATTGTCAAAAATTGTCATAAGAAATTGTCAAAAATTGTCATAAGAAATTGTCAAAAATTATCATAAGAAATTGTCAAAAATTGTCATAAGAAATTGTCAAAAATTATCATAAGAAATTGTCAAAAATTATCATAAGAAATTGTCATAAGAATATTCCAAAGCAGTTAATTCGAAAAACCTACCAAAAATTCGAGAATCAGCTAGCTCAACAAATTTGAGTGTAACTGTTCTAGCATATTTAGCTGAACCGATACAAAATCCACCACCATGCAAATATAAAATTACATGATCAATTTCACTAGCATTTTCATTAATATACATCCATTCCCCATGCAATCCTTTATCATTTGGTTCTTTCCATCCCTCGTCTAACACATCATCATATTGTTTCAAAATCTTTTCTAAATGCGTTTTACTCTTTTGTCTATATTCCTCATCTAATATAACATTTTTTATAGTTATATTAGAAGGAATTTTAGGCTTAAGATAATCGTCTATTTCCTTTTGAGTTCGTTCAATAGGTTTTTTTGATAATTTATTATCTCTTTTAGTCACTGCTACAGTCAAATGAAATTTTAGACCCCATGATTTTTTAGGCGGGCCTTTAGTATAATGTTTTAATACAGTAGAAAATATGGTCGGAATATATTCAAATAACAACATTTTTATTGTTTTTTTTTAGCAAAAGAAGATGTAATTGTAAGATCTATGCCTATATATTAGTACTATATGGTAGTACAGATCCGATAAATATCACAAATTATGCTAACGGTGTTCTCAATCACTTCCTTCAATGAATTCATTGAAGGAGGCGATCCTATGGTTAATTTAATGATTAAAGGAGGAGAAATTTTTTTTTACACATTGTACGTCACACGTTTAGCTTAACTTACGTTTTGTATTACTTAACTATATACTTATTAGTACTGTATGTACAGTACACTGTAAATAAAACACTCACAGATTTCATTATGCAAATGCGATTTGTGAAAAGAATTCTTTTAAGAATACTGTGGCATATCGGTGGATTTGCGGAATTGGACATGGATATAAAAACAATTCAAAAATAACGATACAAAAGTTTTGTATTGTTATTGTTAATTATTCCTTAAATTACTTTTATATACATACACGTAATAAAAAAAATTTACATTATACCACATAAACTTATATAATCGGTTCTAAATTGTTATTTTTTTAATATAACAACAAATAGAAATCCTCCACTAATATCATGTGACAAAAGTAACAGTTTCTAATTTTGCACTAAACTTTTTTTTTTGCACTGGTTTATCGTAATGTGAGTAACGCCTAATTGAAGTATATATGCTCGGCCACAATAAATAATAATGAACCTTATTTAGTCATCATTCATATTAACGTTAAGCAAACTGGAATTTAGAAAAAAAAACACATTAATATATATTCGTCACACTTAATCCTCCTAGTATAATCACCAAAATCTTCAATAAAACACAAATTTAAACTCATTATAATTATTGTGAGCGACCAACATTAGGTTGGTTCAGCGTGAAGTCAATTAGCATTTAAAGTTTTCCAGATTAATAATTTCAGGTAATTTTGTGATACGCAATTCGCCAAAAATTTTTTATGCAAATCGATTTTCGTGCCGAAATTTACCCGAATTTTGCAAAATTTCATTTTAGATTTACAGGCAATTTGGATCCTTTCTATTACAAATAATTATTTTCATAATAAGATTTATTGTACTGTAAAAATATTTTAAATTGATTTGTTTTCAGTTTTATATCAGCTGTAATTTTAGTTAGTTTTAAAAACTTGTATATCACAAAAATTGACACAAATCTTTATTAATCAACAGTGCTATTTTTAATTTATCGCTGATAGAAAGTGCTTTGTTTTTGTTTTTACATTGTCATCCAATTTTCTGACTAACATAAAATTTGATTCAATAGTTTTCTTTTGTTGTAAGAATATTGTAAACTTTTAACAAGATCAAGCACTTACATTTAAATTTAAAAACTCACCAGTTTCAAGTTCATTTCATTTTCTACCGTTGCACTTAGTGCTCCGTAGAGATCGACTTGAATGGGGATAAAAGAGTCGATTGACATTGAAACGTTTTACTAAAAAAGAAAGTTGTAACCTGTGCATCTAAAAAAGGTACACCAATTTTATATGTTTTTATATAAAAGTATATTATACTGATTAAAAAACAGCAGTAAATTTAAGTATTAGTGACTACAAATAGTTTTGATTAACTTAGTTGACAGACAACCCCAGTGTAACAGGACCTTTTATTGTTTAATCAATTGATTGCTATTTTTAACTACTCTTTAATTACTGTTACAATAATATTAGATAAGTTAAAGTTTTCATATTCGTGCATTCTTCATGACCGGATCGATGTTTCTTCAGATATTTTACAGTTGTTTTTTTATTCATTTCGCATCAATCGCAAACTGGATGGATATGTACATGGGGAAATATCTTTCGAAAATAACTTTTATTAATTTGATAAATTCAGGTGAGATGCATCGAGCCTTTGATATTTCTTAAATAATTAATTAATTGAATCTTATTTAATGCAGATATTCACATATAATTTCACATTTATTGCGCAATTCTTGGTCAAAATTTGAAATATAGTCGTCTTTTTCTATAACGAATTGACAATTTTGGAAGAAAAAAATTCTGTGTAAAAGTCACTATGTTTTCTTACAATCCATGGCACTTTTTATACTGAACTATTATGAAATTTAAATTTTTGAGTTCGTTATACTCAAAGTTCATTATTTATAATTTCATTGTACCAAAAGTCAATGATAGTTATTTATTTGTTCGTGAAAGACTTTGTGACAAAATTTTTATTTCTTTTAATCTTAGCCAAGCTAAAATGTAAATAAAGATGCAAATCGAGATTAAATAAGAAAACAAGAATTAAGAAAAGGCTACAAAGTAATTGTTTCGGTATGCAACTGATTTGATGAATTCGGAGGTTACGTAATAACATTTTAAAGCTTTAGATAATACAATCGATCCAACTTTTTCTAAAAACTCTGTTATTTTAAGCCCAGCCTGTTATTTAATGATGGGGTATATAACAATTTATAAAAGTATTCGGTCAATTATTGGTGAGTTTTAGTATAAATTCAAATATGCATAAAACATTACTGCAATAGAAAATAGTTATTTGTTGTAATCTGGTCGATTTTGATTAGCCATACATGAATAATCATCACCAAATATTTCCAAATATTACGTAATCTGTTTTACTCACCAGCGAAGACATATGGACTATCCCAAGAGCATCCATAAAAATCAGCCGATCATACTTAAGATCAGGTGTTTAATATGAAAATCAAAAATTAA